TACCTGCGGGCGTCGCTGAGCCATGATGTATCGCCTAAGAGCTGTGGTGTGTGCCTTGGCGGCCGTTACTGTCTTCACCTGCTTCGCCTCCGTCAAGTGGTTCCTGGTGACGGATCATCTCGTCGAGCAGAGGGCATCGCGGGCCTCGGCGGCGCTGCCAGGTAAATGGGAGGGGAAGGGCGGAGGGGAGAAAGGGGGGGGGAGGGGAAGGGAACGATGGAGGGGGAAGGGGAGCATGTGAGGACGAAGGATAGAAAGAGGGAGGAAGGAGAGGGGAAAAGGGGGGAGGGGGAGAGGTACGAAGGATAAAAGAAGAGGAAGGAAGGGAGAAGGGGGGGAGAAAGGACGATCGAGGGGAAAAGGGGGGGAAGGAGACTGAGCTTAAAGATGGAAGGATAAAAGAAGGAGAGGAAGGAAGAAAGGAGGAACGAAGAAGGGAGGAAGGGAGGGAGAAGGGGAGCGAGGGAGCAAGCGAGAGAGAAAAAAAATAAAAAAGGAGGGAAGGACAAAGAAAGGAAAGAAAGAAATGAGAGAGGAAAGAAAAAAATATATATATACTGTAGAGGGAGTAAGGTAATAAGCTCTTGAGTGAATCATACAACATGAATCAAATATTACACCGATCATGTCATGTATTACGAACACTGACATGTATCAAAACCTCTGTCATGTATCCAAGGGACATTTCCATTATCAAAAAACAAAATAATGATTAAAAAAACAGTAGAGATACAACTATTGCGGCATTAATTACAAGTATAAGTAAATTTATAAGTAAATCGCGATTGCATCTAGCTACTATGAAAATGAGGAGCAGGAAGGAGGGAATGATGTCGAGGTAAAAGGAAGAGAATGAAGAGAGAGGAATAAAAAAAAAAAAAAATGTGGAAGAAAGGCGGGGTGAGGGAAGCGGAAGGAAAAAAAGTGTATGTTAATGGCAGGCAGACGGACAGATGGACGAACACACACTCACGCACACACACACACACACACACACACACACACACACACACACACACACACACACACACACACACACACACACACACACACACACACACACACACACACACACACACACACACACACACACACACACACACACACACACACACACACACACACACACACGTACACACACACCGCACACACACACACACACACACACACACACACACACACACACACACACACACACACACACACACACACACACACACACACACACACACACACACACACACACACACACACACACACACACACACACACACACACACACACACACACACTACACACACACACACACACACACACACACACACACACACACACACACACACACACACACACACACACACACACACACACACACACACACACACCACACACACACACACACACACACACACACACACACACACACACACACGCACTCCCCCCCCCCCCCCCCCACACACACACACAGCTCAAGCAGGAATTCCCTCGGGCCCTCAGGTGGGAATCGGGAAGGGGAACGTAACACGGGGAAACGACGAAGAAGCCGATTGAATGACAGATATTTATGCAAGAGGAACTTAATCTCCTTATGCAATAGTCGACGTCTGTTGAGGAATGACGTGAAAGCGGATTATTTTATTGCATTATATTGCATTTGATATTTTATTGCATTTGATATTTGATATTACTTGTATATCACTGTCTTTGTTATATGTGCCTTATTTTTCTTTGTTGTTATTTGTTATTTCCTTTGTTGTTATTTGTGAAATGATGAGGGAGGATTTTCATGAAGCTGGTGTAATCTTGTCGAGTACATGTGTACGTGTCTGGGTGTGTATTTCTCCGACTCTCGTTTTCTCTGCCTCTGTCTGCGTGTGTATGTCTGTCTGTCTGTCTGCCTGTCTATCTTGCTGTGTGCTTGTGTGTCGGTCTGTCTGTGTGTCTGTTCGTGCATGGTCATGATTGTTATCTATCTCTGTTTTGTATCTACTGTCTATCTATCTATTTGATTTTGTCTGCGTTTACTTGTATGAACTCTCTCTCTCTCTCTCTCTCTCTCTCTCTCTCTCTCTCTCTCTCTCTCTCTCTCTCTCTCTCTCTCTCTCTCTCTCTCTTCTCTCACTCACTCACTCTCTCACTCTCTCACTCTCTCTCTCTCTCTCTCTCTCTCTCTCTCTCTCTCTCTCTCTCTCTCTCACTCACTCACTCACTCACTCTCTCTCTCTCTCTCTCTCTCTCTCTCTCTCTCTCTCTCTTCTCTCTCACTCACTCTCTCTCTCTCTCTCTCTCTCTCTCTCTCTCTCTCTCTCTCTCTCTCTCTCTCTCTCTCTCTCTCTCTCTCTCTCTCTCTCTCTCTCTCTCTCTCCTCTCTCATCTCTCTCTCTCTCATCTCTCATCTCTCATCTTTCATCTCTCAGTCTCTCTCCCTCCCTCCCTCCCTCCCTCCCTACTTTCTTCCTTCCATCCTACCCTCCCTAGCCCCTATTCTTCCTGATGATAA